GCTTATAAATAGGACAGGAGGGAGGTTTTTACTAACTAAGTTGGTTTCCTACCTAAAACAATATATAGAAACAGACCTGCATAGGCCGAAAGGCACTACAACAGGCAAATGAAATATCTATCTATCTATCTATATATAGGATTAACGTACTAGAAGAGTATAAGGAAGAGGATCTCCCTCTACCGCCTACTAAGCAACTTAATTAGGATTAGTAAGGTTATTCGAGCGTACGTCTAGATATATAGGCTAGTACTTAACCTAATAGTTAACTAGGTACCTAGTAGGAGTAGGACAGCTTAGCTAACTTCCCTTTCGAAGTAGCGCTACTATAAGTATATATTCCTAAAGGTATACGTACCGTATTAAACGAGATTCCTTAGGATTAGGAACTATAGCGGCAATAGAAAGCTAATAAAGCAAACGATCTTGCTATAGCTTAAATAGATGCCTCTTTAGAGGCTCTAGCTTAGTAGTACTAGCTTACTATACCTAACTTTAATCTAACACCTCTTAATAAGTTTAATAGTACCTAGAAGCTCTATATACGCGCATTCCCGACGCTAATACTGTAGGGAGTTACGGACTATATCGATCTACGCCCGCGAGAGGTCTTATACGACGACTAGATTAAGTATATAATTAAGTACGACGACGGTACTAGACCTGTTCGTTATCGATTCGCGAGCTATTCGCGCTTCCGGTATATCGTACTAAATACGCCTATAAGAAAGCAGACACGTAAGAAGGCGGACTATATTATATAGTAGAATCCCGACTTTAAAGAGATTACTATTAATAATCTTCGTAACGCTATCGATAATAACGATAACGATACGAAGCGCCTACTATCTACTATTATACGCTATAGCAACACCCTTCGCGGTATACGTATATACTAGATTGCAAAGACAGCCGAGTTAGAGAATTATATTAAGGGTTTAGGCTATCCGTACCTCTTCCTAATATTTAGTGCCGCCGATTTGCATTAGTAGCATTAATAGAAGCACATGCCTACTATACTAACCGGCACTAAGCACGAGCGTATAAAGACCGCTCGGTAGAACCTTAGAGACAATCTAGCGATTATAGTATACTATTTCTATCGCTATTACTAATTCGTTATAGAGCTAGTTAGCAAGAAGTTTAGAGTCGTTAATTACTAGAATCGTTACAAATTCTAGGGTCGTAGTAGCTCCTATAACTATCGACTAGTCTAGCTAAAGGATAGAGAAGGACTATCTATTCCTTAATCCTTTACTAAGTAGGATCGTACTACTCTAGCTTAATTCTAGTCGAAGTACGTTATAGCTATAAACCTAGATCCTACCCGTATAGGCCCGGTTACTAGTAAGCCTATAGTGCTTTAAATAAAGACATCTAAAGTTAATAGTAGTTAGTATTAGTTAATACTAAATGTAAATCGTATCTAGCGATATACTTGCGGTTACGAGTACTATTAGCGTAAGAATAAGGATATAGGCTTAGTATCCTACCGCTTCTATTTCCCTCGCGATCTATATAAGACGGGCATTATTACGAAGGGTCCTAACCCTCGGTATTAGATATATAACGGGCCTCGTAACGATACTCGAATAAATAGCTACAATCGTACAATCTAAGCTACTTAGTTAGGTAACAACGATATCGCTATCTATACTAATAAAGGCACTACCGTCGACTATCTTAGGAAGTACTATATAAAGCAAGAGAAGCGAAGTAAGTCTTTTATTAAGCTTAGAAGAAAGGTGATTCCTAAGATTAATACTACTAGTACGCGGCTAATAGTGTCCTTCTTTACTAAGATACTTAACAAATTGATTAGTAAGCGCGACATATTAGCTTAAAAAGAGATATATATACTTCTTAATCTCCCGCTTACTAACGGTTCTCGGAAGGTATAGAACTTTAACTATCGGAAGCCCGAAGACTAATCTCGAGCTAAGCGATACGATAAGGAGGCAGGAGAGTTAGTAACCTAGGGCAAGTTACTATTACTAAAGTATATAGAGCGCTATAGTATCCCTAAGGCGCGATTTGCTAAGTCTAATCTAGTTAACCGGCCTAATCTAATACTATTCGAATTCCTAACTAAGTAGGACTTCCGTACCTATAAGAAGCGCCCGCGATCGAAGCTACGAGTTATTAATTAGTACCTAAAGTATAGTGGTATACCTAATAGGGAGGATAGAACATACTAGGACTAGTGCCGTACTAAGATTGCTTTATATTATCCGTTAGATAGCGCTTACCCTTCGCTTAAGAATAGCTATATCTTTATAGACGATACTAGGGATACGGACAATCCCCCTATAGTATATATAACGTAGTCTAGTACCTATAAATAGTGCAAGAACAATCACAATTATCCTAATAATTATATAGGCGTAAGTTTGCTAGATCTAACGGTAGACCTATTCGAGGAAGAATACTACGATCCCGAGCTTAAAGCTTCCGATAAAGCATTACTTGCTACTACCCTACCTTAGTACCGGCCGGGAGAGCGACTTAAAGATCTAAATGCCTTTAGTAACCGACAAATCGATATTAAGTATTAGTAGACTGCTTATATCGGCAAGTATAGTATTTAGGCGGCTAATATTAAGGACTTTTAGAAGGACTACCGCGGCTTAACTACGATAGTATAGCGTGTTAGCGTACTAGTAGATCTATAGCAGCGTATTGCTAGCTTAGCTCCTACCTAGAAGCTTTTCTTCGATAAGCTAGTAAACTACTAGACCGCATTCCTTACTAACCTAGGAGATCGTTAGCCTTTCCTACTCAACGTCGATAGTAAAGTAGGTATTAGAAAGTGATTTAGTATCGATATACTATTATCCGAGCTCGAGCGGCTTATAGACGAGTTTAATCGTAATAAGTAACAATACGGCGCTTAAGCTCTTATAATGCCTAACCTAATCGTTCGCTTAGCGCTAACTAGGGCCGCTACTAATAGTATTAAAGGCCGTATAGTATACTCCTTCTTCCGCTTGCTATTAACTATAAAGGAGTACATTCCTCTCGATAGTAAAGCACTCGATTAGTTCCGATATATATCAATCGATATAGAGTATATTATTATCGACGAGAAGTTAATACTAGATCTTACTCTTCTATTCTAGATCGACTCGCGGCTCCGACAAATTAGCTTTATACGAGAAGATAGTAAAGAGATACTATTTAAAGGGCGTTATATCGTTATTACTAGCGATTTCTATTAGTTATTGCCTATAGGTAGTAGACCTCTCTTCTTAAGATTAGAGGACCTATATACGCTAGAAGACATTGCTAGGTATAGTCTATACCGGATATTTAATTAGACTATTTAACTAAACGTAATTTAGCGATAGTAAGGCATAGATGCTACTTCTTATGCCTTCCGTAAAGCCCTTAAAGGTCTACGGAATGCGCTAGGAGGTAGAAGTATCGATTACTAGGAGACGCTCGTTACGCGCCTAAGGCCTAATTTACCTTAGGCTAAGTAAGACCGGTTTAAAGATGCCTTACGCCTATATCTATATAAGAAGCAGGTTAATGCCTTTAACTAGGACGTAATACGAGATAACAATATACTAATTCGTATCTTAGTTGCTAAGCACTCCGGTATTCTATAGGCCGTATAGGCTTCTTATAAGAACGGTAGCAACTTATATCCTCGCCTACCCCTATACGTTAGGGCTCGTATTATAGTTACGTAAAACCTATAGGTAGAAGGAGGAGTTATTAATAGTAGCTTAGGCACCGTACGCGACATTGTTTAAGAGGACAATAGCGATAATTATACCGAGATTATCTAGCGTATTCTAACTATCCTTCTCGTATAGCTCGATAAGTACGAAGGTCCGACCCTTAACGATAAGTACGACCCTAATAATACCTATAATATACTAGAGCGTATCGTGCCTATTATGCCTATACGCCGCGAGTAGCTATATAACTAGCGTTAAGATACGCGCTATATTCGCACCTAATTTCTAGTTACTATCGTATATACCGTTATAGTTTATAAATCTTAAGGCAGAACCCTAGACTAGGTTGTTCTTAATATTTCGAAGAAGGACTTTACTCCTAGCCTAGTATATATTGCCTATTCTCGGGCTAGGGCTCTTAGAGATATAATGTTTAAGGAACTATTTAACTTTTATAAGCGCTTTAAGCAAGGCAAAGTCAACTAATCTATTACTACTCGGTATACTAACTATATACGTCGTCGGCCTTAGCGTATACTACCGGTTAGAGATGTCCTTTCTTTAGAAGCTCCTAACCTAGCGGAGTAGCCGCCTTCGCGCGATAATATATCTAACCGTAAAGACGCATAGAAGAAGCGTTAAGAATAACTGCGTCGCTAGTAGTAAGTATAGTAGCAAGAGCGTTAGTAGCGGGAGCGAGCGCAATTATAGAAGGACCTCTAGACTATTGCCTATACTAAGTAGATATAGAAGATTCTTATATAGGATCTATAAATACTATTTAACCTAAATCGGATTACTCTTAACTTTACGTACGCTCCGCCTAAAGCTTATAATTATCGCTAGCCGCTACAAGAAGGCAGTGTTTATATACTATTAGTCTAGACTTTAGTTAGGATGTTTAAGGAGAAGTTTCCTTAGTAGGCACCTCTATATACTATTTAACCTCCTCCTTAGCAAGGTAAGTAAGGTTAGCTAGAGTAGGAAGATTAATTTACCTAATAGTAGTAGCCTACAGGTGCCATCTACCTAGTATATAGTCCGCCTACGTTACAGCTACCTACAACTAATCCTACAAATACGGACTTCTTCTAGCGAGTCGTAGCGAACTAATAGTAAGTATAGCAGGTACGATAGCTATAGCGATAGCAACCTAGCTAGACAAACCCTATTGCTTCTTAGGATTATATTACTCGCTATACACATGCTTTGTTTTAGCTAGGCGACATTCTTAATATTATATAGCTAGCTCGTCGCCTCGTAGATCAGCATCTATAGTATTAGCTTAATTACGAATTCGAGTATAGACTTGCTTTAGTAGAGGGCGTTAGCTCCCACTTTCGTCGTAGCACCAAGATCTTTATTCGCTACAAAGATCGCAACTCTTAAGAGGAAATAGTATACGAGGCGATAATAGTATAATAGGCTGCCGTATATAATAATTAATAGCAATAAGATCTAATAGGCACTTAGGAAGTAATAGCTTCGCAGGACGCAGAGATAGCGGATATATAGGGCACTAAGCAAGAACCAACTTACTAAGAGGAATATAGTAATAAGGTTAATATAGATAGAACTTAAAGGACTACGCTTTAAGGGACTGCGCTTTAAATAATAGAGATGCGAATAATATATAGGTAGAGCAGGTACTATAGAGCTATAAGTACAGATCGCGAGCACAAGCGGTATACCGCTTATAGTTGCGATCGCTTATAGTAAATCTGTCGATTATTAACAAGCCCTTTTAGTATAAGTTGCGTAGTAGGTACTAATTGTATACTTCTTAACAAGCCCTTTTAGCCTAAGTTGTATAGAGGGTACTAATAGCTTGTGCTATCGCTTATTAAGCAAGAGATCGTTATTTCGCGCTCGCTATTAGGGCTTAGCTCTTCCGCTTCGCTAGACTTATTAGTACTCGTAGGGCTATAAGTATATCCTTATATCCCTCCTCTATCGGCGTAAATAATAAACCCTAGATACTTAATCTTTTTATAGGCAAATTCGCTCTTCTTTAAATCGAGGTAAAGGCCTCCGTCCTAAAGCTTCTTAAGAACGGTCCTTACCTTATAGAAATAATCTTCCCTTATACCGCTCGAGTAGATTACTAAGTCGTATATATACGCCGACGTAAAGTCGTCTAGATATACCTATACGAGAGTATTAATATACGTTAAAACGTTACCGGGGCTCCGGATAAACTAAAAGGGCATACTAGCTACTAGAATAAACCTAGCCTAGTATAGAAGGCCGTTTTATACTCGTATCCTTTTACTATCCTTATCTTATAAAAGGCCGAGACTACGTTAACCTTAGTTAACTATCGGGCTTCCGTTAGGTTCTTTATAGTATCCGGGATTCGTAGAAAGGGATACCTATTGTACTTCGTAAGAGCGTTAAGCGCCCTATAGTCGTAGTAGAAGCAAAGTCTTCCCCTAGGCTTTTTAACGAAAAGTACGAGCGCCGCCGCTTCGGAGTTCGTAGGTCTTATAAACCCCTTCTCTAAGCGCTCGTTAAGTAACTTTTATAAGACTAGGAGCTCTTATTTCGGTATACTATAGAGCGGGCCCTAGGGGAGCTATAGCTAGGATCCGGCTAGTTTTTTATAGAGTTCTATTATATAATCGATACTAGGACGGTATAGTAGGGCGCTAACTTGTTAGCTTCCCTATAATAAAATAGCGCGGCTCTATCGCGAACCTCTAGGGATAGTTTCTTCTTTAGCTCCTTAATTATCGGGTATTCCTTCGTTTTTAGAGCTTTCTCGATATTTTCGGCGATTATCGCGGTAAGTAGGCTCCTTATAGCGTCGATCGTAGCGATATTCCCGCTTATATCGAATTTATAGTAATAGCGCCCTTTTTTAACCTAATACCGAGCTCTCCCGTAGTAGTACTATTACTTCTTAGGCGTAGTCCTAACCTTATTATATACCTTCTATAGGTTCCCTAAGATAAAAGGGAAAGCTAATCCTAGTACGACGTAAGCGTATACCGTCTATCGAAACCTATAAATTTCTATCTAGAAGACGACGACTCTAATAATTTTCGCGTCCTATATTATAGACGACGCTCTCTTTACCTCTTAGGACTTACAGCTAATATAGCTAAGCCTAAGGCCTTTAGCTAGGCTAGCGTTAATTATAGCGTAGTACTAGTATTCTTTATTAATAAGAGTAGAAGTTCCGACGTTATTTTCGCGGACTATATCGGTATATATAAGGTTCCCGTTTATTTCCTTTTTAACTTCTTTCTATTTCTTTATCTATACCTTATCTACTCCCGACTCCTAACTATAAGCGAGAGTTACTCTTTTCCTAAGTTAGAACTACTTAAGTCCGACTATTCTTCTATATCCTCTAGTATAGAGTATATAGAGGCGATACTAATCTTAGTAGGCTAAACCGCTAGTACGTACGAGTAATCGCGAATATAGTATCTACTCGCTCCGTAATAGAAGTAGAGCCTTTTCTCCTTACGTTTCTCTCTCTTTATAGAGTCGACGTATTTAGCTCTAAGCTTCTCTACTATTCTTTATTAGTCTCTACGGTTCTTTCTATAGAAAGCGTTCGTTTAGGTAGGGTTTATAACTACGTCTCTATTAGAGTCGACCTTCGGGTTCGCTATAGGAGCCGTATAGGGTAGGATAAAGACCGTAGGGCTTGCGGCCTCTTTCTTCCTTTCTAACTAGCGTTTCGCGGCTTATTTAAATTAGTCCGTCGTCTCGAGGTTTATTATAATTCGCTCGACTTCTTCTACGTAGAGGTAGTAATCCTTAATCTTTAATATAGCGGTAGTATAGGTCTTAGCCGCGTTCGAGAAGGTATTCTTTAAGTACCCGATTTTCGTATCGTCGGTCTAATAGTCTCTGCCTATACTTAGTAGGAGGCTATCGAATTCTAGCTAGTAGTCGTACTAGGGTTATCCCTAAGAATGCCTTAGGGCTTAGAGTTGCTCTAGCGCCTTCGTAGCTTTATTACTATCCGCGAAGACGTCCTTAAGTTACTAGAAGAAAGCCTTAGAATCCTTTTCTTTCGTAAGGCTTCCTCTTTCCTAGAAGTAGCGTATTCTAGCGCGTTCCTTTACTAGTAGGGTATTATAAATAGTATCCTAGTAGTAGTCTCCGGAAAGCTTCGGTTTTAGCCTAGAACAAACTCGGTACGAGCTTCTTAGTCGTAGTAGGTAGTCCTAGAAGGACTTAGCCTTTCCGTTCTATAATAGTAGCTTCTATTCGCGTAACGCCGTTACGTTTTAGCCGCTAGCCGAGAGGGTTTCTAAGAGTTCCTTTAGGATCTCGTTCGTAGACTAGTCTTATATTATAGTAGCTTCGGTAGGCCCGGTCTAGCGAGATACTTTCGCGTATTAGAGCGCGGAGCGCGTAGCTTATAGCTAGGCTTCTATCGTTTATTGCCTAGTATAGAGACTCTCAAAGGTATAATAAATCTTATCCCTAGTTATCTCTAGTATAGTAGGGATAGCGTTCCGATAGCTATCTTACTCGGGTTCCTAACGAACCTTAGCGTTTCCTATAATAAAGATCGAACCTAATATTATAGGTAAGCAACGCGTACGTAGATACTAGATATAAGACTTAATAGGTTCGATAAAGAGCTAAGTCTATCTATATAAATCCGAATAGTTTTATACGGTACGCTAAGCGCTAAGCGCTAAGTAGTAAGGCTAGTACTTTCTACCTAGGGCGTAGCCCTTAATATAGAGGCATTATTAGTAGTTAACTAGCTAATCTTGCTAGTTATACTAAAGACCTAGAAGTAAGGTATAATAAGCTAAGCGAGGAAGTTATCTATATATAAGCCGACTAGAAGTTATAGCAAATCTAATAGTACTTAAACGAGCCTACCCTTCTTATCTATATACTAGCAATTAATAGCTTAGAAGTGCTTCTCACTATACTAAGCCTTCTATATATTAGTACTAAGGTAGAGATACCTTCTAGTACTAAGAAGGCGCTATTTAACTCGTTCTCGCTAGCTCTCGAAGTTGTAAAGAATATAGGTATATAGCGACGTATATAAGTATCGAAGTATATAGTCGGCTTATAGATAGGCCGTTAGAATAAGGTCTCTAAACTCCTTAGAAATAAGGGCGTTATAAGAGATACTAAGTCCTATAGTAACGCGAGCGAGGGTATAGCGAAAGGCCTTCTTATTAATAGCGTTCTTACGGATATTAATCGTCTTCTATACCTCTATATCCTAATTCTTCCGCTAGATAGATAAGAAGTTAAGCTATGTCTGTTTCTTACTATTATCTTCCTTCTCTTTTATACGACTAACTATAATCTAATACTTGTAAAATAGGTATTTAGCCGCGTTACTAGATTGTAACTCAAGGCACTCTAGATTGTTATCTAAATAGTATCTATAATAGAATACCTTATAGTAGCTATTCTTTAGGCTTTTAGGCGCCTTACCCTTTAAAGGCCGCGAATAAGACTATAACTCTAGATCGCGCCTATTACTAGCTCTTTTCCTTTTTTCTAATAGCGTCGGAGCCGGTATTAGCTATATAGGTATTACTAAAGACGATAATAACTATATAGGAAAGAATATTAGGTTAGATATTAGTCGAGTAGGTAGTTAACTTAGTAGCGTAGGATTTAGTACCTCTCCGGCTTTTTTATCTTCGAAGGCGCTAAGATCGCTAGAATCTTATATAAATAGTATCCGTTATCTATCCTACGTTTCCTATTATATTTCTTAGCTCTTACGGAAGTTTTCTAAGCGCCGCTATAAAGGCTTAGGGTTCCTACGTATCTCTACTATAGTAAGGAAATAGTAGAAGTTATAAAAGAATAGAGGTTTAGAAAATTTAAGTTTAATAGGGCTTACTAAGGTTTAGGGCGCGAGCCGAAGCCGCTCGGTTAGTACACTATAGAGGCTCCTATTAGGCTTTAAAGACCCTAAATAATATAACTAATAGAAATAGATAGGCGGATAAGTAACTAGAATACTAACGAGTCCTACTATTCTACTATTCTAATCCTTTATAATACCTTTAATACTACTTTTACTAATACTAATATACCCCTTTCTGAAAGCTTCGATAGCTAAGGTATTACGAGTACGTTATATAGTAAGCTCGACTTTGAATTTGTATTCCTCGCCTATATATAGTATATACGAGTAGTAAGTATAGGAGTTACTAAATCTAAAGTGCTTCGGCCTCTCTTCTACCCTCTATATGCGCTTACGATAGACCTCGTAGCGATAGTTAGTTAGGTATACGGCTATATAGTTATCCTTCTTACGGATATAACTATCGAAAGCTTCCTACTTCTTAGTAAAGACGTCGACCTCGGTATTCTTCGTAATTAGTCGGTATTCTACGCCTTCGTATTCCCTTAGAACACGGCGAGACTCCTATAATAACCTCTCTATAACCGTCTACTAAGCCTCTATCTCCTTATACTGTTAATCGAGCTAATCCTAACCTTTTACCGTCTTCTTAGGGTTCTTATAAAACCTCTTACTAACCGGTTATTCTTTATTAGAAGCGCTAGATATACTATTAGCGATAGACGTCTTCTTAATAGGCGGCTTACGAAAACCGACTTATAATATACCTATATAATAATATAGTAGTAAATTAACTGCCTAGGTATCCTTTTTAATAGTATATCCTTCTCCTTATAAGTCCTAAAGCTTAATATAATAGTATTCTCTACCTATATATTTAATTCGCCCTAAGTCTCCTAGCGAATAGTACGGGTTAAAAAAAAGTATAGATATTAGATCTATATACCTTGTGCCGTTGCTTACTAATATATATACTTATATTACTATATATAATACGGCCTTACCTAAGCGCTTAATAATATTAGCTACGAGCTCCGAAGAAACTATACTTGTTTTCCTTTAGGTCGTTAGCTATCTGATAAAGATTTATTATAAGATCCTAGCTTTCCTAGTTATAATTCTAGGGCGCTTATATATTAAGCTTAAAGCTTAACGAGATCGCGGAAGGTCCCGACGCGATAGAGCTCTATAGCGTACCTACTATAGATCCGTATAGTAAGAATATTTAGTCTCTAGCTAAGTTTGTTATTATCTCCTTAATAACGGCTCGTCGAAATTACCTACTATACCTAACGTAGCGTATAGTAGGTAGATACTAAGGTATTTATTTTATAGAAGGGCCTTACTTAGCGTAGCTCGAGTATATTAGGTAGTAATAAATAGATACCCGCTTCTAGAAGAGATAGGAGCGCTTTATACTAATTATCCGTACGTCCCCTCCTTTAGAGAAGTATCCTCGCCTAGATATACTTTATATCCCTCTAGTTATACTAGTTAGCCTAACGATTATATACTAGTTCCTAAACTACTTTCTAATCCCGCTTCTAGTCGTATAATCGCCGCGTATTCTATCTCTCTACGTAGGCCTAATCTAAGTTCCGACTATAAACGGTAAGCTACTACTAGATAGACTACTACTCGTCGCCCTATCTCTGGACTATAATAAGAGCTTGTCTATCCCTCTAGCTACAAACTCGTCGTGGACCTCGTCTATAATATTAGTTTCTAACTCCTCTATAACTAAATTACCGATTTCGTATCTATCTCCTTTCCTAAGCGCTATATAGTACCTTATCTTACTACTAATTATAGACTTAATCGAGGCGTAGTACTTTTCTAGGATAATATATATCTTCGATAATAGTCTCGTATAATATCTAGCGTTTATCGAGCTCCTAGTATAGGTTATAAACATAGTCGTAGCCGGTAGCTCCTACTTAGAAGTTATTATACTTATTAGCGTCGTCCTAGGGCTCTAATTCTTATATCTGCTCTTAAGTACGCGGCTATTAGTACTCGCTAGTACCGACGATCGCGTATACTTACCTATAGCCCTAGAACTAATTGTATTCGATATTAATTTCGATATCTTAGATAGCGCCTTATTTATACTTAGGATATACTACTTAGATATCTTTATATCTTTCTAAGTACGTCCGCGTTAAAGGTTAAACCTAGGGTACTAGGCTCGGTAATCTACCTAGATATTAACGTTATCCTATCGTTATACTTATACGTAGAGTTACTCTAGTCTATATCTATTAATATACGTATACTCGGGCCCTTAATATTTTTGCTTATATTCTTAATAATTATCGTATATAAGGGATAGTTAGAGCGTAAATCTATCTTAGTCTAGGAACACTAACGAGAAATTAGGAGGATAAATTAAGACTCCGAGTACCTAGTATCGCTAAGTATTATATACTGTTTATTCGCGTTAGACGTAATAGTATTATACTAATATTAGCGGCGTAATTATAGAAGATAGGTATAGTCTACTATCTAGCTCGCTCTAGTATAGGTATTTAAAGGTAGCGATAATAAAACGAGTAAAATATATTTATATCGCTATCGATATATCTTAGGTATATTATAAGTAGAGGCTTCTAATAGCAAGCCGAAATATATATATACTCGTAGATCGTAATCTTAGCCTCGAGGTTCCGAAGTTCTTACTAATAATAGCTCGGTCCGTTATTAGAGCCTTTACTTAAAGTTAAAGGCTTATCGGCTAATGTCTATAAGGTCGCCTCTATATAATAATATAAGCTTAGGTTAGAAGAACGCGATCCGAGTACCTATATATAATCTTAGCTATAAGGTCTAAATTATCGAAAATAGTCGCTAGAATTAGTAAATACTTAGAAAAAGATTTAAAGGCCCTCTTTATATTACTATTACTAGATCTAGACTTCTTAGATAGTATAGTATATCTAGTTAAAGTAGCTGCGATCCAAAGCTTAATAAACGGTTATACTCGCAATCCGAAGCTTAGTACGTAACCGCAGTTACGATCTGAAAGCCCGTACTGCTAGTTATAGGTATTTATAGCTATTTCTCTACGAGATATATAAATTAGTAAAAGAAAACAAAGACTTTATATCGCTTTTTATATACTACGATATATATATAAGCAACGCTAGTAACGTATAGAGCTATTCTTTCTTAACCTACGCTATTTACAATTTGTTCCTTAAGCTCGTAGTTTTTTCCTAGCGAGGGAGGCATACTAAAGGTTTGTAGAGAGTAAGTGTATACATTTAATCTTAGGAGAGAGAATTTCGTTTACAAAGAGAGCGAGGGAGGCATGTTAAATATCGGTAGAGGGATTACAGGATTCGCAGGTATTTAATCGCAAGAAAGAACATAGACAACAGCTTCTTTGAGAAAAAAAGACCTCACTACGTTCGCCGTCTATAATATTTGTTTTAGTGCGGTCGGGTTAGCTACCCACGCCGAACGAGTGCAGGGTGGAAGGGGTTGTTCTCGACAAAAAAGAAAGTCTCGGTTCACACTCCTCGATCTTAGCATACATGTTGGAGTAACAGCGACCACCTGGTTGCTCCTATCACTCTCTCCTCGACATTCAGTCCTCCCTATGCTTCCCAGTGTCCATTCACCCTTAGCGTGGTTACAGGCCTCCGATTCGCCATCTTTCCGGCCGATCTTATGGCAGCTCATCGTTATCCCACGGGAGCTCCAGGCACCATTCATCCAACTCCTCTCCCACAAGGGGTTCAATTCGCTCTGGCATCTCCAGTTTCAAGCACCTCTTTCCATGTGACGCTCTCTTGAAGGCTCTCCAGTCGCGCTTCTTGCCGTACGGAGTATTGCCCATTCTCAACCCTTTGCCACTGAGCTCCGCTGGTTCCGCTCCCCAGCTAGGCGCCTCGCAATTCCAGTCAGCAGCGGTGGGCTCTCGAGGGAGGGGAACGGCAATTCGATGATCGTTTGGGACGTCGGTGACTTCGTCGCAGAGCTCGAGCGAGGACAGATATCGGTGCACCCAGTGGTGACTTCTCATGAGGGTGAGAACGTTCGGACAGGTGAGGACATCGGGCAGTGCGTAACGGTCGGGTTTTCTGAAATCAGGCGGCAGGGATGGGAAAGACTGGGAAATGGTCGTACTAATGCGCCAGGCATTTCGCAAATTGACGAGACACTTGATTGTGTCTGTTATCGGCCATGAGTATGATGGTGGTGGTGGAGGCGGTGGGCGTGGAGTGTCGGCATGGTGATGGGCCCAATGTTGGCTCGCGTACAGAGCAGCGCGATCACCGAGAGCGTGAAGCTGCGTCGGGCCGGCGGAGGAGCTGCGGCCGATGTACTGGAGGCAGATGATGAGATCCTTGATTACCTCGAAATCGTTGGGGTGTGTCTGCATCCTCACGAGGAGAATGTCGAGGATGTCACGCATTTGGCGAGCAAAGAAGCGCATGGCGGTGTAGCGCTGATATGTCACGAGCGTATTGAGCTCCTGCCAGTCGACATAGGCCTTGTTTTGGTGCAGCTGTCGAATTTCGGCACGCCATTGTTCGCGACAGGATGGTTCGCTGTCTGTATTGCGGTGGCAGAGGGTGATCTGTAGAGCGATGTAGTCGAGATCGGTCGCAATCTGGTCGCGGTAAGTCGCGGCTGCGCTCACGACGGCGTGGTAGTGGGTGAGCAGCTGATCGGTGCCGGGGCCGTCGAGGTAGATGGCGAGGTTCGCTCGGTAGGTGTTGCAGAGTGCGTGAAGGGCGTTGCGGAAGTCTTCATAGTCGGCGCGGAAGAAGAGCAGGTACAGAGATCGCCTGACGCTGGACAAGACTTCACGCAGCGAGCGCTGCACGGGAGGAAGGTTTTGAAAGGCGAGTGTAGTGCGATCCAAAACGCGATGGTCGACCCACGACGCCAATGTCGCTAGGCGGCGTTCAAAGGAGGTGCGGGTCAACGAGTCGAGGAAGGCGCAGTTCAGGGGGGTGAGAATCATGGCAAGTTTGGCGCCACTGAACAAGTTGCGGAAGTCCTCCGTGCGGCGCCAGCGGGAGCTCGGCATAGCACCTCGAACATCGAAAGCCGGGATGGTGGGGTCGAATAGCCGGATCCAGGGCAAGCAGTAGCGTGAAGAGAGAGTCGACAGCTGCAGGATGTGTGTGTCAGCGTGGCGGGTGTAATTGGTGGCGTCGGCGTCGGGGTGTTGGAAGAAGTCCGGCGGCGGCCAAGTCCAAAATGCACTTGCCCGTACGCTTGCGACCAGGAAGAGCCACACGCTGCGCATGGTGTGTGTTTTCTGTGTGTGCAGTGTGTGATGGATGAGATGTCTTGTGGATGTTGAATGATTGAGCTGCTACGAACGCGAAGATGCATACATGTCCTCTGTTGTTGTTTAGACGCTGGAATGCAGGAATGCACATCGCCGCCCAGCCCGCCGCCCTACCAACGCTATGTCTGCCGCTCAACCCCATCACGCCGCGCCGTTTCTACAAATACAAATGAACCCTTCTTTTGATGCTGTTTCTCCTGCACCTGCGAAGAAATTGAGCGAGCGAGGAGCAGTAACAGAAAGCAGAGGGCTTGCGGCTTAGGCGTGCGAGTGCGGGAGCGGGAGCGGGAGCGGGTAGCTTGTAGCTTGTAGCCTATAGGTGCGGCTGCTTACGGCTATCGGGGCTGTCTTTTAAATAAGGCAGAACCTAAGCCCCCACACTGCCACATACGGCAATAGCCGGACGATGCGCCCTACTACTAGCCTATATACTAATTTGTTAGTAAAGCGTAGAATTTAATATTCTATCTATATTTCTATTAAAATACTATATTATTATTATACTCTAAAGCTAAAGAAAGCTAAAGGTAACGAATAGAAGTACTATACTATTAAATTAAAGATCTTATTAGTTACTAGGCGTAATTTACTTTTATCTACTAGGCGTAATCTACCTCCTCTACCGCTATATCGCTACTATTACTATACTAATAATTATTAGTATCTTACCCGCTTATTTAGTCTACTAGAAGGTAAATAAGGTATATAGAAAATAGTATCTTACTAAGCGTCTCGTATAATCTCGAACTCTTCTTTTAATAGTCTACCTCCTATCTATATTACCTTTAGTACTCTTACCTATACTAAGGCTACTAATTACGGTAGTTTAATGCCCTATATAGTATAATAACTACTAGTAACGTAGCCTTCCGATAAAGGGCTATATCCGAGTTATATATACTAAGAGAGGGTAATATTACGACCGCGTTCTACTATATCCTTAATTAGCTACGAAATAGCTTAATTAAGTAAGGATTTAAGGCCTTCGCGATACGCTTAAACTATAGATTTATAATACTATCCTTAACCTACGGCTACTCCTCGTTTAATCTTTCTTATCTTCGAGGCTATAGTACTACTTTTTTTAGGTTAAATATACGCTCTTTTATTATCGTAGTACGCTTTTATATCCTAGCTTGCTCTTACTCCTCTATAGGAGAAGACTTGTTAGTAATAAGGACCTTTTCTATACTATAATATAGCTTAGAGCTATTTACGCGCTAAAGTAATATCTAGGCGTTAAAATCGTCGTCGGTAAGGTTTTTAAGAAGTATATAGCGCGTCTATAGATATCGATAGAGTATATACTATTTCTAGTAGAATTAGTAGTCGTACTCGTTATCCGTAATAGCTTTAGCGTTCTTACTACGTTACCGAAAGTTACTATTAAACGCGTTTTTTATACTAGCGTTAACCCTAGCTACGATTAGGTCGTAAGTAGCGTATAGAAGTAAAGCAATCTATAGATACGCTATCGCGTACGGATAAAGCGAGTTCTTATATTTAGTTACTATAATAGCGGCGCGCGTATCTAGGGCGTTAATAACTAAGTATAAGTATATTTTACTACGCTTTAAAGAATAGTACTTTATCTACTATTTAACGCTAGCGCTACGCTAAAGTAGGTAGTAAAAGTTCTCGAGGTTACTTATTATTCTAATTTAAGGAAGAATAGGCGAGTAACTACGAAGATAATAGGCCTATACTCGCCTATCGTTATATACCGCAACTTTAGTATACTTAAGCCGTTTATCTATCTCCTTCTTTAGTAAGTCTATAGCTATTAGACGGTCTATAGTACGCTTAAGACTATTAATTTAACTACCCTCGCTATATCGATCTTTTAGTACTTTAAGTAGGTTATTAAGTACTACTATAGTAGCTACCTAGAATATATCGATAGATCTAATAAGCTAGCCGCTATACTATAAAATAATATTAGATTTAAGTTACCTTAGCGGTAGGGGCCCCTAGCGAAGTAGGTCGCCTATTTAGCCGTATAACGTAATATCTAAGGGACTCCTACGGAGGCCGTATATAGTAGAATAATACGTTATACCTTAATATACAAACGATAGGACTATACCGAACGACGCGTACGTATATACGAACGATAGTAGGTAAGATATATAGAGTCGTATAATAGATCTAGACCCCGTAGTAGTTCGATTTACGAACTACTAACCGTATATAGTTTGGTTCCTTAGCGGCAAACTAGCTCCCTAGTTCTAGTTTAGTTTTTTTAAACTATATAGATTCCTAGTTTAGACTAGAGACTATATTAGTTTTACTATAAGGATACTCTTATTCGACTACCGGCTACAATTGCCGGCTATACTAGAGACTATACTAGTTTTAACTATTCTATAGGCGAGTTTTAGTATTAATCTCTAATAGTATATTTCCTAGGGCTATAAGAAGATATCGGTTATTCCTATCGATCTTATATATCTTAACGTCTTCGAATAGTAGGTAAATCCGGAATAGACTATTATTATATTATAGCCGGTAGGAATATTAAGAGTTTTATATACGTATCTAATATAAGTAAAGTAGCTTAGCTAGATTTAAGAAGATAGGAGTCTCCTAGCCTAGGACTACTATAGATAGTTATCCGACTACCGGCTACTATTACCGGCTATAATAGTAACTAGGTTATATTTACTACGCTCGCGGTTGCCTTAATAATAGCTATTAACGTTGCTAGGTCGTAGTTACCGTTACTAGGGCGTAGTTGCCGTTACTAGGGCGTAGTTACCGTTACCGGGGCGTAGTTACTATTACTAGGGCGTAGTTACTATAGTTATAAAAGCTTACCTATATAACGTTACGTAGGCGGTAACAATTAGGGCTTCGCGATGTTCTTATAGCTTTTTAATTCTTCCTCTATACCTATACCTATAATAACTACTATACGCTACGCCCCTACTCTCCTCTTCCTTAAAATAGTAAGAAAGAAGCGCGCCGCGCTCTAAATAGAAGATAGAATTAAAGACCGCGAGTTTCCTTTACCTAAGTATCTAAGAACAAAGCGTAAGACTAAAGAGAAGTACTCTGCGAAGAATAATTCCGTAAGAGACTACGATAGAAAGAAGAAGATAGATAAGGATAAAATGTTAAAGGATAAGAGAAGAAAAGCGCAGAATAAGGTATTCTATCGATAGCTAGCGCCTATAGAAAAAGGTAAAGGTTAAAATAATAAGATAACCTAAGACAAGGCTTAGAGGATAAAGGAATTGCGTCTAATTTTCGAGCGTAAGTTTCTAGTAGCGTAAGTTAATATAGCCGATAGCCGTAGCCGTTAGCTATAGCTAGTTACTATAGCCGGTATTTTTTTCTTTAATACGTTAACTAATAGTACTTAGACCTATTACCGCTACCTCTATCGAGCCGACCGATAGTAACGGAGATATTTAGATAGCAGAGAATAATATTACTAGAGTTTAGGATACCGCAAAAGAGCTTAGTGCTAAGAATAAAGGGACTAAAAAAAGGAAATAGATACTATATATCGATCTAGTAACAGGTATAGTCTTAGGGCCTAACGCTATAGACGATAAGCGCTAGGAGTAGATCGAGTATAGTTAACGAGACGAGGTACTAGTAAAGGGCTAAGGTATAAGCCCTATTAATCTAGAAAATTATCGTTAAAGCTACTACGAAAAGCTAGTAAGAATTAAACTCGAGACTAGTCGTCTTTATATCCTCTATATAAAGTATAAATTTCTTTATTAGTATTAGAGCGATGCCTTTACGTCTATAAAGGCAAGGTAGGTTGCGATTAATATAATAGGAGCTAGGTATCTAGAGACGGCGGAGGAGTTACTAAAGAAGAAAGGGGTATATATAATTATTCTATACTTAGTATATATAGCCGGCGTTCGTAGCCGGTAGATACTAATAGTTAAATAGAAAGCGTTTCTCGAAGGTAGAGTGCTACTGCTATATAAAATCTTTACTAAGGTAGAGAGGGCTTATATCCGGAATCTTAGCTACTAGTAGGATAGTTTAGCGTTAGAATTCCCTAAACCTCTATATAAGCTTCCGGAGGATTATCCTTTTTAGCAATACGGCTTTATCTCGACTACTCCGTAGATACTCGACGAAGCTTAGGCGCTCTTTAAGGTCTTTATTAAGGAGCGGACGGAGTTCGACGACTAGGATTAGTTAATAGAGCTATTAGTTAGTATTAGGTTCCGTAGCGAGACTCGGCCTAAGTATTTGCTTATCGAGTATCTTATACTAAAAGAGGATAGATTAAGACTAAAGACGAGCTTAGATTCGTTAGATATAGTAGCTTAGTTCCGTTAGTAGGAGAGAGCCGCCGTATAAAAGGCAAATTTCGGATAGTTAGGATAGTTAAGGGATCTAGGTAAAGAATTCTAGGATAGCTAGGAAAAGAATTCTAGTTATTAGGCTAGCTAGGATAGCTAGGAAACAAAAAAGGGTAGCTAGCTAGTTACTACCTAGCTATTCCTAACGATACGATACTATAAAAGAAAGGGTATTTCCCTATAGCTACTAGTATATATCTACTACTCCGTACCTTACCGACGACCGTATAAAACTTTAAAATATACCGACTAAGATTATATATATACTAGGCGCTATACTAGGAAGGGTAACGACGAGACGATAGTCGAGCTAGTCTAGTATACGAATAAGATTACAATAAGGTCGAAAGGAGGCTATATACTCGCCTTCGTACCTATCGAGTACTAGACGACGATTAGGGCTAGATTTATCCTCTCCGAATCCTAGTAGTAGGAATTCGTTATAGGGTACTACTAGCTAGTTCTTACCTTTACGGAGTCTAAGTAGAAGGTTATTCGGAGATATAAGAATATCGAGTATTAACCCGGATATCTTCGAAAAGGCTAGCTAGGCGTATCTTTAGAAACCCGAGTATACCGAGTAGTTTAATTAATAGGTCTATAAGATATAGTTCCCTTTATACATACGTTTAAAGGAGCATAACTATAGAAGTACTCGATACGATAGGGTAGTAAGGAGCGAACGGATATATTCTAGAAGTTCTTTACGGAGGGGGTATTATACTATTATATAAATTCTCGACTTAAAGTTTAACTAGTAATTATCTATAACTTCTATAGTTTAATCTTAAAATACCTAAAACTAAGGGATAGGAATTTATCGCCTACTAACTATCTCTATTCTAGATAGTATCGGGAATCTTAAGGGGAGATAAGGGTTAATATAGATATAGCGTTCTAGAAAGAGGTACGTCTTTTAAAATGCCGGCTATAGCTACCGGCTACTTTAATTAACCCTATATATCTAGATAATTATTATAGGCTACGCTAAAGGAAGCTAAAGGATTAAAGGCTACCGATTTCTCCTACGAAGACTTTAAGTAACTAGTAAACGA